GGGCATTGCGGGCGGGGAGATGGGCCTCGGGCTCTGCCTGCGGGAACGGGCAGGTAGAGCTGGGCCGGGCGGGGCTGGGGGCTCGCTGCGCCCCGGCCGAGGCTGGCGAACGTGGTGAAGATCTTCACTGAAACTGGCCTGGAAAAAAAAAAAAAAAATAAGAGAGAGAGAGAGAGAAAGAGAAAGGCATAGTGTTGTAATGTTTGGAGTAGAAGGGCTGATGCTCTTGCACTGGCCTTGCAGTGCTATCCGGAGGGCTCAGAGCTAAAAGAAATGTATATGTATATACATATATATTATAAGAACAATACTGGGAAGCGAGCTATCGATACCTGGGCTATTGCTTTGCTGTTGTACAACAGCATCCCAAAATATACCATAAAAGTGCAATATGGAAATGAAAATTGGCTTATAGCAAAATAAGAAAACAAAACAAATATTGGCATTTTGCTTCTAAATATACAGTGCTTTTCGGGAGCATGAGATCGAATGGGTGTTTTTGTCTTCCTTAATGTTATATTTGAAAGCAGCTCTTAAAAGATTTGAATGAAAGTTCGGGTCAGATGCATCCTCCTGTAACGCAAACAAAGACGCGTGGCTCGTGTTTACTGTTGGATAATTGTGTGATCTTACAGAGAAACGGGCTTAGAGCGGTCCGAGATTTGTTCCTATAGAACTATCGTTCTGCCACTCTTAGCATGATGCGGTGCTGCTCTGCACATTGTGACATTTTCTGGGCGATGTTTTAGCGAAGATGATCTGAATATTTCATTTGTAAGTGACTGAATGGCCACAAAACGACGGAAAAAAAAGAAAGAAACAAAGAAAGAGGCCTTTGTTATTCTTTTTTTTTCCCCCACTAGTGAAAGATGAGGTCTGACTTTCCATCCCTTTACTAATTATCTGCTGTAAAATCTGGGCTATGGCTCGAAAAGGTGAAGCTCACACGCAGCTCGGGAGGGCACGTGTCCAAGGGATGCCCGGGTTCCATACGGTCCCCGCTCAGAAGGGGCTCCCACCCCACCCGCCCCAGCACCGCGCTGCTCGCGGGATGCTGTCGGCTCCTCTGCCTCCATCCATCACCCGCGTTCTGTAACAGTCCTCCAGAAATACAACCCGCGTGTGGAATACGGCAGTAACAAACGTTTGTATTGCAACAGGTCCGGCACCATGGAAGGGCACTCGCGGTAAGTGACCTCTTATTTCTCGCAGAATTGGAGTGCTTTGAAAACACCGTTTCTCCCTCTCAGAGCAATTAGAAGCTCCGTATCTCTGCCTCATGTCGCTGCCACCAACCAACCAAAGCTGTGTCAGCGCGTTAAGGCTTTGGGGACCGTTGCGCGGTGCCACGTCTCGGGCAGCCCTGGCTGAGGCAGAGGGGTTTATTATAGGGCTCGCAGGTGCCTGGCTGCCGCCGGGCGGCTCGGGGCACTGCCCTCTGCTCTGGGAGGCTCGGGCCGGAGCAGTGACGCCGCCTCGTTTGGAGCAGCCCGGGCAGGAGGAGCGGTGGCGGTGCCCGGGCCGGGCAGGCAACGCTGTGCCGTAGGGCCGGGCGGCAGCGCTGGGGGCGGGGGGGAGAATGGAGGAGGTGGGCACGGTGCGGAGGGGGCGGCTTTCTCCAGCTGTGTGCTGGTCCGCGCCGGTCGCGCGTGAAGGAGCGGAAGAGAGCAGCGCTGTGTGCTGCAGGACACGCAGCGAGCTGCCGTTCGGGCTGGCTCTGCCTTGTCCCTCAGACGGAAGGGGAAGGCTGCGGTGTGTGAAGGTTCTTTACGTGCGCCTCGCCCTCCCCGCTCCGCAGGCTGTGCTCCGATGGGGGAGCGCGCGGGAGCGAAGCTCTGTTTGTTTGGATTTCTTCCCGTTTCGTCCCCTGCTCACTAAGCTCTTTCACTACTTCTCGCCTGGTTCTCGTTCGCGTTTTACCCTGTGTGTCGATATGAGTTTCGAGCCCTTTAAGTGCGAGATAAACAATTGCCCCGAGCGCTGCGTTTTTGGTTTAGTCCCATAGGTAATTCCCTGCTCGCACAGCCCCGCGTCACGGAGGTGCCCTTGGCGTTTTGTTTTAGGGCCGGCCCTCAATGTACAGATTACTCGTTTTCTGCTAACGTACATTTAGCACGACGATTATGAACCAGGATACAAAAAGGCAGATAGATCAAAAGCCCTCTGGTACGGGCAGTTGAACAGGAGGTGAATATATAACGCTTTTGTTCATCAATAAATCTTTGGCTTTGACCTGTCTGAGCAAGTCGTGCAATAAGGTGAAACGCAGGTCACAGCGTCTAACAAATATGAAAATGCGTAGGATGAGGCAGAGAGGGGGCTGCAGCTCCCCGGCCCCTCCGCGTCCCCCCCAGCGGCTGCTCCGTTCCCGGGGCTGCCCCATGGACGAGCTGGGGCGGCGGGGGGGGGGGGGGTTATGCTCCCTGCCCCTTTGGTCGGTGGTTAATAGAACCCCGGGGGGAACTCCTCCCCTCGGCGAGAGGAGGAGAAACCAGGAAGAGGCTCTGAAATAGTTGGGAGGAGGCTTAAATAAGTCGGGGGGGGGGGGGGGGGG